TTTTCAGTTTTAGTTGTACCCGGATGTTGGAGTGTAGAGCAGCTGAAGACACTTTTTGTCTGCCAAACTATTTTTTCTTATGAATACTCTAACCAGTTTCCTCACCAAATGTCAGGGTCTTTGCAAATTCTGCCCTTTTATATCTGATAAAAAATTCCAAATAAAGGTGAACAGTGGGACATGAATTTCATTTCAGGGATCAATTAAGTTCTTCTTACCTTATCTTCTTCTCTCTTCTCTGATCTGATCCTATTTTTTCTTGTCTTATTTTATCTTATCTTACGCTTGGACAGTATTTTTTTCAAGTTTGAGAACCAGTTGTTAATTTTTTACAACAAATGTCTTCAAATTTTGTGGAGCTGCAAAAAAATATTTTTTTTTTGTAAGTACTTCTCAGAAGGTCATTTTATTTCCCAGAAAAACCATGACTGAGAAAACATTATTAAAATACAATGAGCTCAGGCAGTCCATTTGATAGCATACAGGTTTATAAATGTTAATAAGAGCTTATTCTGACTCACCTGATATTGTATCTCACATAGAGTAATGGCCAAAGCACAGAGGTAAAAAAAAAAATAAAATTCTTGGCTAAAAATATAGAAATATTTCACCTCGACAACAGTCAGCATCAGCATGTATATTATACAGTTATTTAATTTAGCAATAACACAAGATGTTTCTTTTTATGTCGATTTGTGTAAAAGAGCAGCTCAATGTCACCAAGCTGCATAACTCTAAAGATTAAACCAATACTTAACGTGAACAGCGAGTGAAGAGTTACGCCGGAACAACTCAATTAGCTTAAGGTGGTCTGTTATGGGCCACCATTAGCAAACCCCATAATGATTTCTTTAAATCTGGTTTCCATTAATGCAAGCTGTCAAAGGTGTTGTCTGTATTCAGTCTCATCTCAACTAGGTCTTGGCTGCAAATTAATATTGACTGCTGAAATTCTTAACCCAGTTGCCACTAATTAATAATTAATAGTTCATATAAACATGAAGAAGCACATGAATGAAAGTTGTAATAACTGTAAACAGAAGCATAATTTATGTTTTTTCAAATATATCATTGAAAAATATATCTCTTTTTTTTCCCACTGTGGGTCTTTGTTTGTACTTTAGGCACCCTTAAAAGACCACTGCCTTAACCTGAGGGCTCTCACAGGCTCATATGGTAAAAGCAAGTCTGCTAAATAGGCCGAGGCCAAACCATTAAAGGGATTTTCTGGCGTTAAATTAAGTTTGGGTCAATCACACTGTAACACCGAGTTAGTCACCATGTCGAAGATGAATGTTGCTGACCACTTGCTTCTTGCTTGATGAAGTTAAGTGCTGATCTGAGCATTATGTGTGGCTATAGAGTGGCTTTATGGTTGAGTGCATGGCTCTCTATGTTGCTATCTGCGGTCGTTACTAAAGTTGGTATAACTAGAGAAGCGAGCGATCAGCAACATTCATCTCTCAATGGGGTGTCTAACTCTGTGTTACGGTGAGTTTGACCCTAACTTAATTTTACGCCGGAATATCCCTTTAAGAGCTTTAAAAACCAGTAAAAGAACCTTAAAATCAATTCTAAAAGATACTGAAAGCCAATGCAGAGATTATAAAATGGATGTAATATGGGCTCTCTTTCTGGTCTTGGTCAGCATTCTTGCAGCAGAGTTTTGCAGCAGCTGAAGCTGTCATAGTTATTTTAAGAAAACCAAAAAGAAGAGCGTTACAATTGTCAATTCTACAGGTTATGAAAGCATGAACTAGCAACTCTGCATTGGCTTCAGAGAGAAACTGTCGCACTCTTGCATCTTCAAGTGGTGAAATCCTTTTTTTAGAAATCTCTTTAATATGTGGCTGAAAGCTGAAGTTTGAATCAAGTATCTCTGAGATTTTTGACCTGCTGAAAGTGGTTTGAGCTTTGAGCTCAGTACCAATGACTCAAACCTGAGTTTTGTCCCGATTGAGCTATAAAAAAAGTTCTCTGCCATCCTGACTTGGTATCTAAAATACAGTTTGAAAAGTTACTAGTTGGCCCAGGTCTCGTACATTGTGGTACTGTAAGCTAGTCTTTGCCTCAGGATGATTTCTTATTCCAATATGCAAAACTCGGTATATATGCTGTATTATTCTGTATGTAGTATTCAGTTATTCACAAAGACAAGGATCAAAAATTTTAGCGGCTGTGAGAAGTGACTGTGCAGATCAAATGTAGTTTGATAACTCATTCTACTACTGGGACGACAGAAGAGAAGAGTCTGGCTGGTCACTGGAGGCGCCTTTTATTGGCAGAGTATAGTGAGTAGAAGGGAGTGCAGATCTAGATGACAGCATACAGGTAGAAAGGACCTGGTTTTGTTTCTGTTACGTAAGCAGAAAATCTGGTTTTGAATGAAACTTTTTTGGCTTGGTTGAAGACCAGATGTGCTGCTGCGTTCTGGATCATCTACAGAGGTTATAATGTGCATTATTGTTCAAGGATCTCTGTAATAATATTGCTGTATATATGACCTTACGCTCTCAAAATTGACATTTAGAGTACACAAATGCAGTTATTTTAATGAATCAAATTCAGATAAGGTTTTAAAGGCAGCCTAGTATTTGAGCTAAGTGGTAGCTTTTTATACTCTAATGGCAGAGCACACTTATACAACAAGAGCAGTACAAAGGGTTATAATTGTACTTCTGGCTGCAATTATGTGTAAAAAGTCATCTTTGTCCTTTGTCGGTAAATATGTTTCCTTTTCCCTAAATCATGGCCATTGAACCCTCCTCTCCTGTGTGTGCTCCACGGTAACACCGGTCTGCCCTCACTGATTAGAGGTCTTCAAATGCCAGGGAAGGTGATTTGTGCTGGAGGTGGCCCCACTGCAAGGCACAATCTACATCCTGCCAGATCAAATGAACAGATGTGAAGCCCAGGGCTCTGCTACAATGTCCACTCATTACACGTATTGTGTCGACCTCTTGAAACACAAAACCAGAGACAAATGCACATGCTCACAGTGCTGGACTGGAGCCTGAACTTCAGGCTGGTTTAGTTCCAGAAATGACCCATGATTTCTATTCAATGATTTTTACCATCTCTGCACCTATGAGGCCAAGATTGTTCAGTACACGTTCCTATAAAACTACAAAACCTCTTTGCAAGAATTTCAAAATAATAGTTAATCACACTCAGAGTCAATAGAAAACTGAAACTGCAGACAAACCATAATTTTATAAGATGTACTTTTAATACTCTTTAAAGCAGTATCATTGAATATAATTAGGAGAGAGAGGTATTGTATATTTTAGAATAGAATATGGTGCTTGAAGAAGCAACATGCAACTTAGTGAATTTATGTAGCCCAATTCACAACAGTTTTTTTTCCCCCCCAAGATGCTTTAACCCATGGGAGAGGTTGGTGAAAGTCCCAACAAATCTGGTCTAGAACGATGGATACACAACTACCTCATAACCACCAAAGCTACAGTAGGCAGAGCTTGACTTCCAAAGTGGCGATTCACCCTCCCATTTGGCGAAACCCAAATATCAGATATCTTATTTATTGGTGCAACTTTTTCTCCACATTTTACAGGAGGTCGTATAGACGAGACTAATCTGATTAACTTTATGGTCCTGGTCAGGCGGTAGGGATCTGTCCTACCAAGTACATGGTCAGCAATTGAAGACATAAGTAAGTTGACACAAAATATGGATATCGTCAACCAGGCCTTGCTCTAATTGGTCAACCCTGCTATTGTGACAGAACAAACCTTACCAGGTAGAAAAATCAAACACGCTTAACTTTCGATCAGGAGGTCATGAGAGGTCTCATGATGAGATAAAACTAACTCTTTGTTTGCCAGATTGAACCGCGATCAAACTCGTCTGCCATTGCCTGGATTGCAGGACATGATCTTGCTCCACATTCACCTATTAGCGATGGTTGGGCCTTCATAATTTTAGCGTGCCTCGAACCAAAATTTCCACGTCATTGCCAACAGATGGTTTTCTATAGATTGATTTGATGTGAAATGTGAGATTATTTTTGTCCCTGGTGTCATTCTTGCATTTGAGAATCACTTACTGTTGTTATTAGGATTTGACGTATCAGGATTAAAAGTATAACACAGCTGATTAATTATTTATGATATTCCTACCAATTGTTCCCTTCAAGTTGTCTGTTTTTTGAAACATGTTTTGAGCTAGACACATGTACAGCTATGTTAACACTTTTCCTGTTATACACTCTTTTTTAAGGCCTTGTCTGTCGAATGATTTTTAAGCGAGAGCACTAACTTAAAAATGCAAATAATGTGCTCAGTGCATAAAAAGTGGGAGGAATACTTTCCATCCATGACAGGATTAAGTGCAGTAGATCTAACTAGAAACAGGAAAGAGATTCATTTAAATAAAAACAGTGGGAAGTACAGGAACTTGGTTCTCAACCACCCGGGAAAAAGTCTATGATGAATATGTATAATCATAAATACAGGATATGAAGGTCTCAGGGGATGAGTACTGCTGAGAAGAGTTAAGAGAAAAAACAGCAACTACTGAATAACTATTTTCACTGACATTTTTCTCCTATTGAGGACTTTATGTCATTTGCTGTAAGCCTACTGATGGGAATTCAGTGTTTGTTTTATAACTTGTAGGGGAACATACTGTATACTTAACATTAAGTATCATAAACTAAGAGGAAGTCCGTAAAAAGTTGATTTCATGATGTTTCAGACAATTAAACTCATGTTTTGTAGCAACATGAACAAGCTATTAGTTTTGTGGTTTGTAGTTCATTTGTGTGTTTTCTTCAATTAGAATATTGTCTTTTTTTCACTGTTTCTTGTGTATTTTTGTGCCGTTTCCCGACTTCTTATCTGCCACCAATCTACAGTACTGTAGTGCTGGGCGATAGGACGATAAATATCGTGGGCACGATAGAAAATGTCTATCGTGCCATTTTTATTTTTATCGTTTCGGGCGATAGGCTGTATTTAATCCATAGGGCTTGTGCCATCAGATGATTCATAGTAACAACAACAATAATTGCACATTCAGTAAGTGTATTTGGTGTCGAACGGGAAAGAAAACAATATTTTCTTAAAAAGAAAAGGATGCGTTGACATGTAGGCTCGCATTTCTCTTTCGATTTTGCGACATGACGCCGCTTTACGTGCCCTCTTCGTGTCCAACGTCTCCCGCCGTTGTGGGTTACCTGGGTTACACACGTGAGGGGATCATTGTAAGCAGTGCTTAATTTTTGCCGGAGCAAGTCGGAGCGCGATCCGGGACCTATTTCAGCCGCTCCGGCACCTGTTTCATCTGCTCCGGGACCTTCCCTGTAGAGGATGACATTTTTCGGGAATTCCCGTGGGTCACGTGATTCCCGCGGGATGGGAGTCATTTTTTAATTAATCCTTTGATCAGGACGGGACGGGAAAAAAAGCAACGGGAGTGGGCAGGAGCGGGGACAACATTAAAAGATGATCATTTTCAGCCGTGTTAAACAACCAGATGAACAGGTGCGTCCATTTTTGTAGTCATCTCTCAGTGACAGCCAACACTCTTGACCGCGCTAGCAACACAAAAGAACTACAACAGTGGTTTGACTTCCTGTCAGCTGGGAGCGCGGCTGCGCATTTCTACCCTTCAAGCCAGCAGCGAGGAAACGTAATTTTGTGACATTCTGTAGTTTTTCAATCATTTCTGGAGTCGTGGCGAATCAAATCACCTTACCTGTCTGCCCCTGATAGGCGAATAAAGCGCTCGGAGTCATGCTCGGGTCCTGCTACGTGCTTCAAGAGTAAAGTAAACAATGATGGAGGCAGAGAGCAGCTTTGGAGGAGAAACATCTAGCAGTGTGAACAACCTCTTCAAAAGAGCCCTAAAGACCTACCTTTTTAATAAAGCCTTAGGTTAGTTTTCCTCTATGCTTTATGCTTTTACTACCTTGCCTCTTACATTGCAACTCTATATTTTTTATTTTTTTTAATTCTTTTTTTATGCCAATCTGTGACTGTCATTCTATTGCTTTTTTTATTGTTGCTGCCCTTTTTTTACTGTGTACTGTAGCACTTTGAGATTTTTTGTAAATGTAAAGTGCATTACAAATTAAATTTATTATTATTATTATTATTATTATTATTATTATTATTATTATGGAGTGCTTTGGCTCGCACTATCTGCGTTTTCTGTGAGTGTTGCATAACTTTGGGTGAGCACAGACATGAACGCACTTCAGCCACGTATTTATTTATTCATTTTTCTAGTTTTAAGTGCTGGTCTTGTACTGGTACTGTACTAGTGCAGCTGTATACACTTAAATTTTTCATAGAACTGAAAGCATACCATAGCTATATCGTGATATATATCGTTATCGTGATATAAAATGATCCATATCGTGATATACATTTTTTTCCATATCGCCCAGCACTACAGTACTGTGCTCTTTGAAGAAGCTGAAAGTTATGCTGAAACTTTCTTCTGTGTTGTCAGAAAGAGTGTAATTGAGAGTAAGGTGTGAAATCAGGAATAGTAGATTAGATATGCCACAACTCATCTCAATGGCTTGATTTGATGTGAGTGATCAGTTCACCCGTAGCCTTACCTTTGCCATTTAGAGCTAATAATTGTTGTTATTAAGTTTTCAAAATTGCAGTTGAGTATTTAACACGGAGCTGATAAGTGAGGAAGCCACATAGTGAAATGAAGGTATTATGGCGGACATTTTAGTTAACCTCATTATAAAGTCAAGCTTCAATTAAACAAATAAATGAGGCTTACTGTTGTTACACTCTTAATGGGGCGCTCACACCAAGCGTGAGTAAAATCATCTACTCACTTAATTTGTGCAAATCTAGACACGTAAATGAACAGCATTTGCTCGTTTCATTCACGCATTAACGGTAATTTCGACGGTAATCCCTGCCAATTCAACCAGTGGAATCGAGCGATAGACAAAGGTTTTTTACAATTTACCAGGTAATCCGACCTCCTCACTTACTTGCCTCCAGACGAGCTCCTTTTTATTCCGGTTTCAGTAATTGAAAGAAAAGGTATCATATAATTCGGGGTACCCACACACCGACATGATCAGTTTGTCCTCCATTTTAGATACCAGTGTTCAAACTTCACCCGGCAAACTTTGCGCTGATTAGTTATTGCGATGTGAATATCCGCTCAAGTTGAGACGTTTGTAGCTCCCGCCCAAATCACGTCATTAGCGACGCCTAGGTAATAGTAGCAGCTAATCAAGTCTTTGCATTGACTTAACATGTAATTCGTTCATGCGAATGATTTTACTCACGCTTGGTGTGTGGAGACAGTTACCATGTTTTCTCTCTCTCTTTCTATATATATATATTTTTTTTTTCAAATTTCACCTGCTTTGAAAAGAAGTGAAATAATAAATCTGTACAGCAAAATCAACCTCTGGCAATTCTTGCCCTCAGGCTTAAACTTCAAAAACCTATTCTGGGAGAAAATAACATTTCCTGACCTGCAGAGACATAACAACCCGCAGATTCACACCAGACCGAGGCGTTAAAACTCCTGCTGCCGAAACACTGCTATCGCCTCCAACACATGATGAGATTCATTATTGGAAAAATCTGTAATCACAAAAAAAGGTGATAAAATATTGTGTCAGAGATATTTTTTATCGATTCATTTAAATTGAGGCTAAATCTGACACTGAAACCACACCACCAGAATATATTTCTCATTAGCAACTGCAGGCTGTGAAGCAGCGCAGGTCAAACTCTAGTGTCTTTTCATCTGTCTGAGACAAAGGTGAAGACTCCCACCTAACCGAACACCTCCAGACAGCAGCACAGCCAGCACACAACCGTTAAAAACTGCTCTTAAATGCAGCATCTCCTCCTTTGAAGTATGTGAATCATTTACTGTTTTTCTTCATCATGACAGCGCTGTAATGTCTGTGTTATTGCCGTCTCTTTCACAGTAGCTTATCTCCTTTGCAATGGTCCAGAGCACCGATGACTCATGGTTCCTGTTTCTTATTGTTTTTAGAAGCCATCCTCCCTGATGCATTCACTGCCTGAATGTCTGACAGACTGCTGTTTTATGACAGACTGCTGCTGTCTGTGGTAATTTATACAGAGCCTGATATATTCTCCACAATTTTCTCTATGGGCAGCTCACACCGTTAAGTGTTCTATAAAGTGAGGCTTATCTATCTATATGACCTATAAAGTTTATAACCCAAGTGAAGAACTTAAAAACAACAAGAAAAGTTTTATAGGGACTAAATCAGCGTCAGGGAACGGGTTTACGTTTGGATAGCCATTCTATGATGATTACACGTATCATATCACCAGAATTCTGGGTATTTTAACTGTTTTGAAGAACAGAAAATGAAAAAAATAGAAATCTGGAGTGTTTTCTTACTGAATCACACACCTGGCAGGAGGAGAATGGTGTTCAATAAAGAAAGTTTCTAAGCCGGATATAAAAACAGATTTTTTTTTTCCTCTTTTGTCAAACAATGTCAACACACTTAGCAATTTTTTTTTGGTAGGAAAGGATATTTTTCTCTTGTCATCCTTCAGCCAATGAGCAGAAATCTGTACTTTAAATTAAATGACACTGAGCTCCCATATCAAATTAATTTAGGATATTCATTTGGTCGTATCTATGATGACCTCAGGGGTGTGCTTTTTAGTAAAATTTTTGTCACTACTTAAAGTGTTATCAGTGGTCTTTAAACTGTGATTATGAAGTTTTTAGCCAAAATCTCGTTGCCTGTGTCGTTTTCAAGAGTTTTTCTTGTGCAGAGCTTGAGTATTTCATTAGCTATTTGTCTCTGAGTCGTGGGCGGAGATAGCGCTGCTCTACACACTTCTCCTCGAGTTAGCTTGCAGCCACATTGCTGGTGTAGTAGAAGAAACAGGTAACATAGGAGCTATTCAGCTCTCGGACACTAATGTCTTAATGGACATGATGAAAGCTAGGATCATAATAAGCTTTCTTACAACCATTTCAATCCGCTAATACAGACGCTTGTTCCGCGATCGTTCTCTCTATTTCTCCGACCCTGGCCTGCATAGCGGGGCTCTGGAGGCAGGGCTTGGATTGGTTACATAGGAAATTTCACTATATCCGATCCTGCCATTTGGGTCTGCCAGAGATGCACAGCAATTTGAATACATAAATACTCAAAAATGCAATTTCGCACTTCTTTTTCTCATGATATGCCCTCTAGTATCAGAAAAATGCCATATGAACATGTAGACAACAAGAAAAACATGATTTTCATAGGAGTGGGTCTTTTGTGCTGATCTCTTCTGGTTGGAAGATTATGGAAAACTTGAGTTGTGTTTCAGAAGAAGAAGAACCTTTTTTGTGGCTAATTTTATCTGCAAAACTTGAGGGGAAATGCAAGACTTTGTTGAAGAGTGAGTAGCCAAAGGAATATGCAACTTTAAAATGACTCATAAAGAGCAATGTAGTCATCTCAACACTGTTGGTTAATACCCATAACTAGGAAGCACGTGCAGTTTTCTTCAATGGCACTCTACAGGCAGATGGAGACTTTCTGGTTGAGTTTTGAAATGATGCAGGAGTTGTTTGTCTGTTATGTGAAAGTGTTTGTTGACATTAATAATCCATGCACCAGGAAATTGCAGCATTTATCATACTACAATAAAGTTGAACGCATTGCTATTTTTGATCGGCTCTAAGAAACAGTTTTCTAAAGACATCACTGCGCCTGTAAAATGGCCACAAACTGAGATAATTGAATCTGGTGATGGATTGATTGTTTGTATATCTCATCAGTAGGCTTTATCACAAAGAGCATAAAATCATCCTCATCATCTGTTTTGACATTTAATTATTTCATAGGACCCAAAGGTCAGCATAAAGGTCAATATCTGTTAAAACACTTACCAAAGCTGCTGATAACAAAGAGCCTATCAACAACAATAAGACCGTCTATGATGACAGAGTATACCAATACACCATCCACTTGCTGAGTCGTTGTGTAACCTCTGTCTATCGACCTGTGGACACTAGCTGACAGAATCCCAGCCTTGTAGTGAACGGCAAATAACATGGGTGAATGCATTTCAGCCTGCTAACATAATGACAGACTGAGTCATTAAAATCTTTGTGCTTAAACCAAATCCCAACATCAACCATCATAACTGGGAGAGGGCAGCAGAAACTCACATTTCAGCAGGACTTAGGCTAATTGGAAGAGATGGATGCAAGCGGGGCTTAGAGGAGGCACATCCGAAGGCATAGAAGTAAATACAAAGACAAAATGATTCCCATGACTGCACTAAGTCTTTCTCTTTAATACTTATTGCCTGGGCCTTATTTATAACCACCAGAGTGTTTCTCTTCTGCTATACATATCAGTTTAGTTTACTTTCATGCTAGTCTAACTTTGTTGCAAAATCAGCTTATAGCATTCCTCCAGATTGGTTTTTAGACTTGTTTTTTTTTTTCATTTCTTTCTCGCCGCTGTTTATTGGAATTAGTCTCATTTACCAATATCTCATCTGGTGATCCTCTGTATTAAATGATACATGGCTGCAGGGATGCTGGTTTATTTGTATTCATGGCGCTGCATGGGTAATAAAGTACGACACAAACAAGTATGCCTTTGCATTTTTAGGATCCTTCAAATGAAATCTGTGAGCTTTAAAAAGCCCTTTGTATCCTGCCTCAGGCACAACAGTCAATACCCGCTGCTTCCATCTAATGGTCGGCCTCTTAGGGAAATACAAAGCTACCAGCTAAGGCCCTCTTCTTTATTTACTTTTGTCAATTCGGCTCATTCATTAGCTGAGTGGAACTTTCTCAAAAGAAGGCAAAGCAACAAATTAAAGTTGGAGCTATTTAATGAAAAGGGTCAAGGCCTGGACTAATATCCTTGCATGACCTTAATCAGGTGAGTTCCTAACGCTAGACAGACTTTATGGGATCACTAACCCTGAAACCCACAAAGAACATATAAATCCACAGCAGCACCCTGTACTGTAAAGCAAGAACAGGAGTGGAGTGAACTTTGGGACTAGTCTTGACCATTTAAGAATAAACTATACGCTTTAGACTGAGGGTCCAGCTCAGATCCAGGATTTAACATCACTAAAAGTACTGATGTGAAGTGCTGCATCGTTAAACTTTCCGTACCTGCATGTTGATGATGACTCTGAATTTTAGGGGAGGAAGCAGAGTTTTCGCAGAGTGAATTAGTGAAATACACTCTGTCTTATATTGCCCATTGTGTCACCCTCTTATGCCAAAAACCCAAAGGATGCGTGTGCTTTTTGTGTGCTTCACATTCTGGCTTTGTCAGAATGTGCGTACCCTCGCCCATTGTGTGTTTAGAGCATAGCAGCAGTGTAGTGCAGTCTGGAGCAGCTGGAATGAGTATACAGAAAACCACATACAACAGGTTGATTTCCTGCTAACTTGGATATTATTATGAAACTGTTGTGCCTCTAGCATTTATGTACATATATTACGTTTTTTATTTTTTTATTTTGTTGTGCTGTTACCTGCAGAGAAGTTTAGCAGCTAAAGATTCTGTTGTGGTTGACATGAATCAGGGATAGGCCATGAGTTTGCGCTATGTCATAGGTAAATCCATAAGCAATAATAATAGAAATTATAATAACTTTATTGATATAGTACTTTTCAAAACAGTGTTACAAAGTGCTTCACAACATAAAAACACAATAGAAAAAGAGGTAGAACATACAGCAGCAGACATTAATACAACTTCCAAAACAGTCAGTCAACAGGATAATATAGAATTCAGTAAAAGATGAAAACCGTGTCAAAAGTTATTTTGTTTTTTTTAAAAAGTTAAAAACAATCATGACAATAATCATAATAAAAGAAGTTAAAACAAAATAAAATGAGTTAAGATTTATTTAAAAGTTAAAAGTCTTATCTAGTCTATTTTTATGTGTAGTAAGAACACATAAAAATAGGTTTTTAAACACGATTTTAAAGAGGATAATCAAGGAACATTTCTCACTAATATGATCTGGTACACAGTCAGGAGTCGGTATTTGGAGCTTAATTTGGGAATTTTCCAGATGATTTGTGCTGATTACTGTGCTTGACTTCCTGTCTTGGTTGATCCAAACATATTTAAGGTGAAGTGCACAGTGCTGACAGAATCCCATGCACGTGCATCCTGTGAGTTTTAGGCTCTGGGTATCAGCTTATGCACATAATATTAAAAATTGCCCTAGATTCTTGTCCATGTTTGATGAATATAAACGTTAGCATCTGTTGACACAAGAAGTGTAACAGGACACTTATGTTTCACAAAATATAGTTACAGTCATTACCTAAGATCAGGCTGGAGTGGAAATGTTTGTGGTGGATCTCTCTCTCTCTCTCTCTCTCTCTCTCTCTCTCTCTCTCTCTCTCTCTCTCTCTCTCTCTCTCTCTCTCTCTCTCTCTCTCTCTCTCTCTCTCTCTCTCTTTGGATCTCTTTTGTCTGTATTGTCTTGTGAGTCCATGTGGGTAAAGCATCCATCTAGTGCATAACACAGTGGAAATAAACTACCACACCACGGTATAAAGAGGGTAAGGCTTTTAGTGGGTTGTTTAGCCATACTGATAGTATTAAGCATTGGCTATCAGCCCACTCATGAGGTCCTATCCACAAAGGATAATGCAATAACTCCATGGTAAACACAGCCAGAGAGTTTTTGGCTGTGTGCAGTGGAAGGTCAGCTGTTGATTTTCGGGTTTTGCTCACAGATCTCTTGTTTTTTTACTCATGTGATGCGCCAAAGCCTGTAGCAACATCTGTTCCA